AAGGGCCACACTGACCACGGCTACTGTTGAGTCGCGGTGTCATCTCGTACGCCTTCCTATGTTTGCCTTATGTCAACAAACATGCGGACTACCTCTTATTCGGACTCTTATTGAGTACCACGAAATATTAAGTCAGAGGCGTAGGGAGAAACTTTTGTATATAAAAGATAACGATTTAATTGCGACACAACCGTGAATGTAAAATTTTGAATTTACTTTTCATTTTTTTCTAGATATCTAACCTAGGAATCGCACAAATATCAAACGCACAATCTCACGATAACTGCATCTTTGTGATGTGGTATAATAACATATGAGTGAAGTTGCATTTTATGTGTAAAACGCCTAATCTTTTTAAAAAGAAAATATCAGTTGTATGGTGTTACTTTTCATAAATCTATATCTGATGCAAACTTTTTCTATCAAATAAAATTTTAGTTGAACATTTAACTTCCCATAAGTTATTGTAATGGGCCGAAAATCGAAATTGAAAATTTTTACATTTCTCGACGTTTTGAAGGTGTCTGAACATTTTAGCATACCTCAGAAAAAATGGATGTGTTCGTGTGTGTATGTATGTATGAATACAAATTTCCAGTCACGTTTTCGGGTGCACGGATCAACCCATTTGAATGGTTCAGAAAACATTCGATTCCTATGGATAAGCTTTTGGCAAAGACAGGTCCAGCAGTTTTCGGGTGCACGGATCAACCGATCTGAATGGCTCAGAAAACATTCGATTCTTATTGATAAGCTTTTGGCAAAGACATGTCCAGCAGTTAACTAAATAACAGAGATAAAGAGCAAAGAGTGCAGAAAATAGAAATCGAGTTTTTGAGAGAATGGAGCATCCGATTTGAATTATCTAAAAAACATTCAATTAGTAATGATTGGGAAAAGTGTTTATTAGTTTTTGGCAAAAGCAGACTCAGCCATTTCGAAGATACGGAGTTAATGTGTAAAAAATGGCAGTTTTTGAGAGAACTAAGCGTCCGATTTGAATGATTCAAAAAACTTTCTGCTTGTCTTAACAAAATAATTGATTTTGGGAAAAAACAATTTTTGTTTCAACTTTTTTTTCTTTTTTTTTCAAAAAAAAAATTTTTTGTATATCGAAAATAATTCCGATTTTATTTTTAATTCTGACTATAGTTCTAATATACTTTAAATAAATAATTTCAACTTTGCAATTCAGTTTATATAATTCTTTTAAATATTAGACAATGTTACTATATTAATAATAATCTATTTGAAAACATTCAGTATTCCTCGAACATTTCATTACGGTACGGGAAGTTCCAGCAATTTGCTTAAGGCACGATGCCATACACCCCACTAGTTTATTTATTTTTATTTATAAATAAATAGGTTGTTCAATATTGGTTTGATACTCAATATATGATACATTTTCATAAATTCATTGTTCTAAATATTTGAACAATGTAGACAGTATTTATTACCAATTACTTAAACGATCACTCACTTTTGACAAATAATCTTTGAAGTTTTATTTTATATACAGGAGTGATATCTTATGCAATTCTTCCTTAATGTTTTTTCTAATAGGTTAGGTATCTATTTTTCTGTTAGGTATCTTTCACAAGATAATCGAATGTTTTTTTGCTTTTTCTCTTTAATATATATAGATGGAATGAACGCCTCTGGCTTGTACACAAACCTAGTTTGAAGGAATTCTAATAAGCAAACATCAAGGATTAGATGTATTAGGATACAGGTGCGACACGGGAGGTGGTCATTAGAGATGTGTACTGGAAGATGTTGGAATAATTTTTTGAATGATTTTTAAGATGTTAAATATTGTCACTCATATTCGACTTTTATGTAGATCACTTTTGAAACCCAGTAGCATGAAAATATGTAGTATGAAGGTACGAATGTTGAGTAAAAGAACATTTACTTCTTAAAAACTTCTTAACACACTTTTGGCGGTGCGGGTACTAGTACTCGATTTTAGGATTGTCATTCAACTGCGGGTGCTGGTATTTTCGGGTACACGGTCTGACACGCTAGATGCGAAGAGCGAACGAAATTTCTTACTATGAACTATGAGCGGTTGCAACGCTAGTTTTATACTTATTATAAAACTATAATAAAATTATAATTTATTCTTTAAAATTATTTTTGATAAGTATATACTATATACGTATTCTCAACGTAAAACATATAATTTTGAACGTAAAACTCTAGATTGTATATAGTATGATTATAAGTGATTGCAATTTGAGAATGGAATTACTTTGTCTAATTACCTGGTAAGCAACAGTAACGTACCTGGTAAGCAACAGGTAATTTTATCAAATACATTATCCGACGAGTAATAAAACTAATTCATTAATTTACTGTTGAATGACGAATTTTTTGCAATGTTTTTCCATTGTGCTTGGATTACAGGTAATTTGAAAATGTACGATATGATATTTCTCGTATTTTATTATCCAATTTCTTCTATTTGAAAGAATTCAATGGAATTAAATGTATTTAATAACCTGTTACTTCCTATTACCTAAATAAATCCTCAAATATATATATATATATATATATATATATATATATATATTTAAATTAAACATTTTATTTTTAAGTCTTTTGTCACCAAACGTTTCAACATTTTATTCTAAATTTTTGCATTTTTTTGAATCAATTATTATTTATCATGGATTCTGATTGCGATAGTGAAGTATATGCTGACAATTTATCTGAAGTATCAAATATTAGAAATCTTTATGACTTTGATAGTGATAGTGATAGTGACAATGATGACTTGTTTCGTACTAACCGGAATAGAGTTATGCCAATTTCATCAAGAATTAATTACATTTTTCAACTTAACTTGCAAATATTTTACCTTCAGTATTGATAGTTTTACCACATAAAAACTTAATATTATTATCTTATTTACTACTGCGTATGAGTTTAGGCAGTAAGCATTCGCGCCGTTGTAAAAACCCCGCTACGGGTCCAAGTTAGCCCGAAATCCTATCCGCCGAAAGTGTGTTAAGAAGAAGAATTTCTCAAGAACATTTTTCTGAGTTTTGTATCATAGTAATACTATTGAGCTTAGGAAGGTAGTAAAATATTAAAGCTTTCAATATAACCTTTATAATTATTTAATAAAACTGTCTGATGGAACAGGAAGATATCGATAGAAGTTTGATAATTTTTCTTTTGTATATCGATTTTCCTTAGTAGTTTGTAGTTTTTTTATTCATATGAAAATAAATATTAAGTAGATTTTGTTATTAATATTACTTACGCAATTAAGCATACTCAAACTCAACATCAAGTCAATTGGTACAATTTATTGTGCAAATGATCATAATTAAATGGTTTAATAGAAAAATAATTTTATTTTATTTTAATTATTTAATAAAAAAGACCCAAGTAAGAATATGAAAAACTATATATAATAACACGTATGTTTCATTTAGCACTATTAACGTTTCTGAAGCACATCAGCTAGTTTTAAAATATATCAACTTATCATACCTGATAACAGATTTTACGATGTATTTTAATTTATGCATATTTAATTGTGTCCGACAAAATTGTAAAGTAACAAATAGAACTGCTAAGAAAGAAAGCAAAGAAAACTCTGGTGAACCCACATTAGGAAAAGTATGCAGGTATTTTTATGAAGCACAGAACGAAGTTTTTTTTAATTTATCAAAGGTAATATATGAAAAAGTTGACTGTAAACAAGGGAGAAATTAAGTATTTTCATATAATGGGCCTGCTTTTGTCCACTACACCACTAATAATAATTCGTTTAAATTTATGTACGTATTTAATCCTCTTTCTAAACATATTTATTTATTTTAATAAAAATACTTTCTTAGTTGATATATTATCAAAACAGAACAACACTTTCATAGTGCTTTTGAATAATTGACATCGCTTACATCCTATAAAAGTGTATTGCGGGAAGCATTATCACCCTAACGACAAAATGCTATCATAACACTTTGGCATATCTATCACCCATTTAGCACCCCAGAAAAATTGTCATCCAGTTTAGGGGAGGCATCAAGTGCATACGAGCTGGGGAACTCGCAATGTGATATGTCAATATCATATATCTCAATTAGAGAAGAATTAACCAAAACAAACTCACAAATCGAATTGATAGTGGTTACGTAATATTCTTGCGCATTTTAGATCACAAATCATCTCATGGAAGCGCTATTGCTCGAACGTGAACCGAATCAAAGAGATAAATGTAAATCAAAGTTAATAAATATTGAAATTTTTATTGAGTAATGATAATTACGATACCAGTCAAGATAGCATTTACATGATAAATGAAATGATAAAAAATGCTTTTTTATTTGTTATGAAAATAGCGGTATTGTTGCAATCATTGCTTTTTTGCATTGATGAGTTGTGTTAATCAACGTGTGTTAATCAACATTCTTCAATTATAACCTTTGGCATATATAAATTAAACATAATAACTGGATTTTACATTAAAGTTCATTGATATCGATGCCTATCAAATTCACGTATTGTCTGAATGTTATCCACATGTTGGCATTTACCAAAACCATCGATTATTTCCGCGGTGAGTTCTAAAATAATTCATTCCCAAAATCGATTTGCGTACTACGATCACAATCAGTTTAAGATCAAAGGATTCGAACTGTATCATGAGTTTGCAGGATTGTACGGATTCGGCAGACAAACGACATGTCTCCGCGGTGACAAAGGCCAAGTTCCTAATGCACACACGTCGCACACGGCCGCATTGAGATGGATTCCCGATTGTGCGACTGTATAATCGGAGTTACAGACGAGTTGTATGTTTTTGCCTTTTGGTATATTGCATAGGTGGTTTTGAATCGATATAGGGATTAATTGAGCAAATGCCGAGAATTGGATAATGTTGCCGATATTTGATGGATACTTCTTATTCGGAAATAAGGTGAGACAAAGATTAATTGCAGAATTACGGAAAGCAATATCCATTTAATTTTATTACTCACCTCAACTCGCTCTTCCTTAAGATCAACTTTAAGTGCTAACTGTTCCCTCAGCACCACGTCTGGATAGTGTGTTTTATCAAAAGTTGCTTCTAACTGCTCTAACTGTTCTTCTGTGAATATGGTCCTGTGCCTCCGCTTTCGTTTAGGTGGCGGTCCGTGGACATGCGGCTGACCGACACCTAATACGCCACCAATCGCTAAATGATGATGATGAGCGGCCGCATGATGGTGGCCAGGATGGTGACCTACCACCAAATGGTGAGGGGCACCGCCGGTACCAACGCTGCCGTCGTTTGCGTGCATAGACGCGGCCGCCGCCGCATGCGCTACTGCAGCAGCGTGCATATAATTTGGGTAGAAATTGGGATATGCTACTGCTGAAAAAAGGAAAAAGAATTCTAGATTTAATATTAATGCATCGCAGTAGATTTTATACATTTGACTGTTTTTACTATACAATAGTCAATTAATTTTACTAAGTTTTAGATGCTTAAATCGTTTTAGTGTGAATCATATTCAATTTGATTTTGATACATTCATTTATTTTAAACTCATTATAAATTTAATTTTATTTTAAACTCATTATAAATAAAAGTTATGCTATAATATATATATATATATATATATATATATATATATATATATATATATATTACTTGATTTATTGATAGTTTGATTGATATTGATTAGCATATTACACATACACTACCAAAATATCAAATTACATCAACATTTTTATCTCTTCTTTATTAGAAATTTAATTATTTTTTTGGTTGACTAATTTCGATATTTTTGGCTTTAGAAGTTATTACACTATTATTATTAATATATCTTCTGCCATTCTAACTGCAAATTCTCTACAACGGTTTAATATGACGATAATATTTATTTTATTATGCCATTTACAGAATCTTATACATATATCAAATACGTGCGGTCGTTAAATTAACGCGCAATCACTCCCTTCCATTTTTGAAAGCATTATTATTCTAAAAATTAATATGAGCGTTTTCAATCTGTACATTTATTATTTATCAGAATTGTGAGGTTGAACTTTGGCGCATGTTCGATTATGTACATATAGTTCCATTAAAGCAATAAGCTCTGCAGTTGCTCTTTTTATTCCAATATCCGATCCGACGAGAATTGTTTTTAATGCGACTCTATGAAAGATTGGAAAAGTGTTTTTCTTTCCTAACAGTGAAAACCGCTTCAGGGTATATTCATAAAACTCATAGTATGAAAATCTTCTCGCGACTGTAAAAACATAATTTAATCCATAACAAATTTTAAATGTTAAGAAAATTTTTTGAATCAATTTTGCTTTAGAAATATTTTCTAATAAAGTTTTCAAGTAAATTTTCTTAACTTAAATATATTTTAAATTAGTGTTCCTTTTAACTTTAACAAAAATTTGTCTACGTTATTAGCATTTGGAACTGTTATTACCAGTGGTTACTTGATATTCTGAAATTACTAATCAACAATAGCATTTCAATAGGATATCTTTGATGTGAGATACCATGGACTTTATTACAATTATTTATGTACATAATAATAATAAATAGTAGTCTACCCGAAGGCAGGTTCATGGTGTTATGTACATAATCGAATTTAAATTTAGGTTTAATTTATCATCATAATTTAAATTTGAAGAGAAATTTGATTGATAGATGCTACTTTTGTAAAATTGTAATAAATAGTAAATTATTATAAAATATGCGTTTAATCAGCAGGTACAATATGATCAAAATGATAAATTACTTCAATCATGAAGTACTTTTATGATTGTACTGTTTAAAATATTTGTGTATTAGACGCGATTTTGCACCCACGTGATATTTGCTTGGGCGTATATCTTAATTTATAAGACAAGTCTTCAGCTGGGATAAATACAGCGCCGACTTGCTTCAGGGTAAAAGTGTAGGTATTATAATTTATTTTTTTATGAGATAACAACCCGCTTGTTGCGAAAGCCATATTTTCGCGAAAAATATTGAATAATGCATCTTTTTTTATAAATTATTTTCTAATCTTTCTTTGAATTACAAATTTATTTTAAGATACTTTTAGGTCATTTTCTTCTTAACTGATTTATAGTATATTAAAAATCTAAATGAAATAGAATGGAATGATAAATATATAATTTAATTACTAATTAATAGAAATGATGTAATGAATAGGTTTTATAATGCATCAGATAAGTTTTGTTTGTTATTAGCTTCTTTTGAGTACATTTTCAATAATATTTCATAGGATGTTTTTGTGGATCGTTTTATGAATTGATATATTTGAGTCTTTCGAAATACCTTAAGAATAAAATCTACCCTAGATATTTGCATGCGCGCTCAGTGATTTCTGAGAAGATTCCAATTCAGCTTTTGTATTGGGATTCATTTTTACCTACGAAGCCGAGCTTTATTACACATGAATGAATTATCATGGAATCTGATGTTTCGAAATAAGTGATACATAATAATATTATTGAATGAAATATTTATGCGTTTTATAATATTCGGAAAAGCTTTACCGAAAAATTCAATATAAGAAATGATTTATAATTCATTGTTTAATATATGCAAAAACGCGGTAATAATGATATGGAAATAATCCCTATAGGATACAAATGGTTTTTTGTCTTAATTTTATAGAAAATGCGAAAGCAAATAAAAGCAGATGATTTTATGAAAAAATTGGTTAGTAAAGTGTTGACGCTTTTTCGAAAACAAAATATCTGTTTTAATCTACCGGTATATTGCTTATATTGCACATTTATTATTATTATATTATAATACTTTATTGCGATTCTTATCATTTTACGTAATATAACCGTGATTGAAATTGATGTTCACATACGAAAATTAGTGAATGTTTGTCGATCTAGTTCTAATTGTTTAATGATTTGTAAAAATAGTTGTATTTATTACAAAGATATAAGCTATAGTGAGATACAATATTTATTATAAATAAAGAGTATATAAATAAACCATTTTTAAATGAACTGACCAAGAAAATCTGAAGTAGTTCCAAAACCGGACGCGGCTGCTGCTGCCAAGTGTCCTAAATGCAAAGCCGCCGCCGGATGATGGTGTTGATGTCCAGGTAACACGGGAGAAGATCTAAAATCTCTGAAGAGTTCACCATCTTTCCTATCTCCGGCATTTGAACCAGGTGATGAAGCTGGACTTACAGCAATTGTATCGCTGCTGCCAATATGTCTTCTGTCTCCTCGAGGCGGTGATGCCAATATACTGTCAATCGTAAAAATTGACGAAGCGCCAACCGACGGTCCTTTGTCGGAGGTGGAGGATTCTTCTTGGTGTTGGCGCTGGTTTGCTGCCGCTCCAAGAAGCATAGCGGTGTGGAGATAACCGCGGTATTCTACTGCTCGATTGTTCAAGGAATTGGGTGCTGTTTCTACCATTGTAATTTAATTTTAGTGTTTTTTTGGGGAACACGATCGAGAAAATTATTATATATAAATAGAAAAGATTTAGAAAATATACAAATACACTGTTGCACAGATGCTATTTATAATTAACACTTGTTATAAAGTCATTTTTCTATAAGTCCTCTAATAAAATATTTTTATTAATTAGTAATATTATGCAATTTATAACGTTTGTCAAGTTGAATATGAAGTTAAATCAACTATGATTCAAACATTACATTTCGAACTATAATTATATTTCTTGAACAATTAGTAGAGCCATCACAGTTCACTGAAAATCTTAAGTTTTGTTTTACAATTGCTGAACGTCAAGACACCCACAATTTTCACATTTGAAATATATCACTTTTCCAGTCAATATTATTAATGCACTATCAATATCACAAATGTGTAAAATCAAATTGAAATAGTCTGTTATATTTTTCCAATAAATCGTAGATAAGCAGCAATTATCCGAATTTCCGTGTTAGCCAGTGCTTTAAGAAGGGTGGTTTTGAGTTAACTATCACTCCGTTTTCCGAACCGTATACTTCTCGCCGTGCTTTAAAGCTCGGTCCGCGCTCAGCGACGCCCCTACATCATCCCTTCCACCGTCGTTCACAAAGGGTGCTCGCGACATGGAAGAGCTTTCGGGGCGGAGCGTGTTTATTCAAATATAATCACTATTTGTTTATCGGAGCGGAAAATAAGCTCACCGATACAGATAGATCTGATGTAAAGCGGAAAGGGACGGAATGTGAAACTACTACGGTAATAATACAGGAGGATAGTCATGTTTCGCGTACAACTATGTCATACCAAACCAAGTACATATGTCAGATATGCCTGTTTGATGTGCATTGTTGCGTACGTATGAGTATTGATGAAATACATATGGGTATAGGAGTATTATGTAATTAAATGTTACTTATGGCATGGATTGTATTTTTGTGATTCGCTTATTAGGTTTTTATGACAGTAATACGTAGCATACAACAAAATTTGCATGGATTAAAATTTAATATCTTTTGTTGGAGTTTGGAAATATATTTGAAACATATATACCACTATTCTTAAACTCTACTAGTACAATGGCAACTAGGAGTAAGTGGCATTTTAATTTAAGGCATTCTGCATTACCGATGTGTATAAATAATAGACTTAATCAATAAGAATTGAGTTTTAGCAATGTTGAGATTGTGAATATATAAATTTGATATTTTAACACAGCTTATTATTCTAAACGTTGATGAATTTTTATAATTAAACCACTTTTTGCAGGCTTATGATAGTTCAGGATGTTCGTTAATACCATGAGTACCATACAATTTCAAAAAAGTTCAAAAATTAATCAGCAAGATTTCCAACATCCACATCTTTCGAAAAGTTTGGAGTTTCTAGAACTGGTTCAAATGTTTTGTCAAAAACGTGGACAAAAAATTGCACTTATTAGCTAATTATAAATAAACTGCTCGGCCCATCGTCTTTATTAAGTTTCAACAAATGATTTTACACTTTTGTGATATTGATAGTGCTTTAATAATATTGACTGGAAAAGTGATATATTTCAAATGTGAAAATTGTGGGTGAATTGACATTCAACAATTGTATAAAACTTTAAATTTTTAGTGAACTGTGATGGCTCAACCAATTCTTCAAGTATAATTATAGTTCAACAAATGGCTTTTAAATTTTGGTATCGGTTGCAGCTGTTTCAGAAAAAAAGTTGAAGAAGAACTCACATTCTGTCTCACATGCTTTTTCTAATATTGTTATCAAATAATTAAGAATGGCTTAATACGTCCGGAAAAGATAAAACAATCGGATTTTCCGGCGAAAATATAAACTTTTTCTTCAGAAAGCATCCTTATCACTTGCTTACAGAAGTGTATCCTCTGCATTTTTAACAATTAATTTACTTAAGTGATATGTTACTCGTATGATAGTGCTCTCAATGTACAAAAATTTGTATCTTCATCCTCAGGAGGTAAGAGAAAATGTTTAATATATAAGAAGAAATATCATACATCACGAAATCAAAAATGAGTTTATTGTGGAAAATACTCATTTTGTTTCTAAATTGTTTATAGTTTACTTTTGTAAATTTTACGTCTCAAAATTCTGCTTTCGTGACTTCAGCTTCTAATTCGCGGTATTTTTTTTTCTTTTGCTCAAGTCATCCAAAATTTGAATCCTTTGTCTTATTAGTCTTTTTCAAATATATTTCACAGAATAACAAAATGTTTAATATATATGAATTATATTGTTGATAATTGTATTAATTGAGCAATTCATTTTCTTGTAATCTGCTATAATTCCTAATTGAAATGCATACAAAATCTGTTTTTTTCGGTTGCAGTTCAATTGCAAAGAAGAGTTAAGCCAGGGCAATCCAACAAGGTGGATTATCCGTTCTCGATCGTCCTCTGAGTTACTGCGCTGAACAGCAAATACCCGTTTTACTAAAATGTATGCTAATTGGAATTAAAAAATATTACACTTGTTAACAGGATCGGATGATGGCTCTTTGACCGGAAAATTAGTATTATCTCTTAAGCGTCTCATTTACAAAGTGCCGCTATAGAATTTAACTGGTACTTAGATATTGTACTGAAAGAGAAACAAACATAGTAAAAATCGGGGACTTTTGTGGATCGTTTAAATTTTTAAATAGTTTTTAAAAAATATTAATTTCATAAATTCTTTTGTTGGTTTTGCCCCTTTGCGGTGTACCGCCATATTTTAGCTTGAAGTGAAAACGTACTTATAACATGTAATGGCTAAAGAATCTGCTCATAAAATTATTGTTATGCGAAACGTACAATAAGAACAATAAATTGTGCTTTGGATACTAGAATAATTATTTTTAGTAATTATGGAGCATTTAAGAAATGGTTGTCAACTTTAAATTATTAAATCAACTCTAATTTATTTAAGTATTTTTTTCCAAAAAAATTTACCCTATTCGTGACAATCAACAAAAATATAAAAATGTACCAAATGTGTGCATTTAGATGTTTTTAGTTGCATCATGCTATTTGCATAAGAGTTTCAAACGTGTGCCAACATCTTTATTTGCGTAAGTTGGCGAACTTGCAGATCTTTGAATTTGTCTCGAGGCAAATAAATACAAACTTCAATCAAACTATTTTATTCCATATATGTCACAAAGTTCTGTAAACCAGTATCGTGCGTCTCTATTTGCTTTTGTTAAATACTTCCCGAAAATTTCTAAAATGTTTGCCTTGTCGTCTAATGTCTGTTTGCGCAGCTTCTGTAATGTCGACAACGCGACGAGGATTTTCTGCTCATTTGAAAATTACTACCCTTAAGGCTTTCTGGACTTTGGAGTATCAATGTGTTTCTTTTTATATTGTTATTGCTTTAAAAAATGTTAAGTATGTACTCGTTCAACGGCAATAAAATATCTTCTCGGTAGTAGAATTCTCTTGTACGTAATATTATACCAAAAGAAAATGTTCCTTATTTATGCAAATTTATCACTGTTTCTTATAGTATATAAAAATCACTCATTGAAGCTTATGTTAACTTTTACCACCATTAAATTATATTGTTTACAATTCAGAGTTCTGTTTATAGAATGCTCCGAGCTTTCACTTAATCCTTTAGTATTCTCACAATCAGGCTGTTTCGTTGCTCTAGGGTTGCAGCTTTAGTCTTGCAATTCAAGGTTTCAGTTTAATACCAACTTTGGATAGCCAGCCTTGGATAATGGATAAAATCTATAAAATTATTGTAATTTTTATTATAAGTGTTCATAAATGTATATACACAATATGTGCATATTAGTCAGTCATATCCTTATATCCAGTACCATTGAAAACTCACAGATTTGCAAATGGCTTCCATTATCTTTGATGTTTTATAAATTAAGAGTTAAAATATGTTTTTAATTAAACATAATGTGATTGTAATAGACAATGAGATCGAGAAAACTTCTTGCAATCAAGCTGATTATTTTCTTTGCAACAAATTTTCTTTAATTTGTTTACCGATAAAGCTTCAAGTATAATATTGTTGTATAATGAAATTACTATAGCAATGTCTATATAAAATTTCTGATAAATAGACGTATAACTTTTAGAAAAACCTTCGGTATGCTCCATTTTTGCTCTTCTAGTGATTTTTGAGTAGATCTTGAT